AAAGAAAAGAATAGGAAAAAAAGAGAGAGAGAAAAAGAAATGAAAGCTATAATTGCTGGCTGAGTTGAGTTATAGTTATCGTTTTGATGCAAAGTTGTACCCATATTGATCTTTAGTAGCTAAACTAGTTTAACTCTATGTATTTGACGAGTAATCTTTGTATTAAGTTTTAATTATCAAGTTATTAGTAAAAGTATAAATAACTAAATATAAAATCCTAGAAAAGAACCAAAATAAAAAAGAATAAAGTTTTGGGGTAAGCCAAAAAAAGGTAAAAAAAAGACTAAAATGAAGAAATTAATTTTTGGGGGAAAGGGACCAAATGAAAAACATAAAGTTTCTAGGCAAAAATAAAAGAGGTATCAAACAAGGACCAAAATGAAAAAACTAGTTTTAGGGCAAAAGGAATCAAAACAAAAAAAATAAAATTTCAAGACAAAAATAAAAAATAGGTCAGAAATGACTAAGATGATAAATTAATAAGTTTTAGGGCAAAATAGATCAAAATGAAAAAAAAAAAAAAGATAAAGTTTCAAGGCATTTTTTTTTTTTATAAAAAAAAGAGTCAAAAAGGACCCAAATGAAGAAATAAATAACTTTTAGAGCAAAAGAAACCAAAACGAAAAAATAAAATAAAATTTCAGGGTTGAAATGAAAAGGGGGTAAAAAAGGACAAAAATTAAGAAATAAATAAGTTTTATGACAAAAGGAACAAAAACAAAAAAAAATAAAGTTTTAGTGAAAATAAAAAAAGAGGTCAAAAAATGACTAAAATAAATAAATAAATAAATTTTAGGAAAAAAACAAAAATAAAAGGAAAATAAAATTTCAATACAAAAATAAAAAAAAGGTCAAAAAGAACTAAAATAGACAAATAAATAAATTTTAAGACATCATCGGAAAAAAATATCTTATAAGTAGGATAACATTTAATAAAAAAAAAGTTAAAAAGAAGGTCAAGAAAAAAATATAAAATTTTAGGAGAAAAAAGAATATGAAAAGAAAAGAAACCATAAAAAAATCAAAAGTAAAAAAAAAAATCCAACCAAAACGAGCGTTTCAACCAAAACGCAAATTTATATATATGTATAGATATAGATACATTTACTAACTCTGCGTCAAAATAATTAAGAGACTTTGGCCATCTAGTGTGGTGACTTAGTGGTAACAGGTAATTATGTGGGTTTTGTAGAGTAAAAGGCTTGAGTGTTAGGGGATTCTTTTTGAGCGTCTTAAATGTGAAAATTTACTTCTTTTAACTTAGTGCTCAATTTAGAGAGCTTGTAATCACACCTTCGCGTACCCTTTTATTAGTGATGCGCTCCTCATTGACGATAGGAATCAACCTCGTTCACTTTGCTGATTCGAGTTTAGAATTCGAGTTGAGATGTTTACTATAGCAAAAAAATTAGATGTGATTGTTTGCGAGAGCTTTTTACTGTAGAAAAACTCGAATTCTAAACTCGAATCAGCAAAATGAACGGGGCCTTAGTACTCAACTTAAAGAGCTTATAATCACACATCCGCGTACTTTTTATTAGTGACGCGCGTCATCATTGACGGTAGGAATCTTTTTATAGTAATACTTAGGAGAGTATATATGCTAGTGTTGAACAAATCCTCCCCAATCTACATATATCTATACATATATCTATATTAGGAAAGACATTTTCAGTGGATTACGCCTTTATGCTTCTTGTTATCATTAGACCGTAACACTAAGAATTAATCTTGTGCATGTCTTCCTTATCTTTTGTTCTCCCATTTTTTTTTTTATTGCTCTCGGATTGTTGAACTTTTAGGTGACATTTGTTTCCTATATCCGTTTCTGATTTTGAATCATGATTCATGGTTCTCGACAGTATTTTTTCTCACAAAAAATACACGTAAAACGAGAATAATTCTGAATCATGATTCTGAATCATGATTCTGAATACATAAACTAAACGCCCTCTTAGGATTTTTAATTCTTAACAATAACGTGTGCGTTTCATTGCATTTCAATTAGAGAAGCCCTACGGTACTGGATTATTAATTAGGCCATTTTCTTCAATTCACATAAAGACATAAATTCAACTAGTGTATTTAATTAGGAGATAATATTAGACTCCATTGTACCATAACTTATATCAATAATTCGCACACCAAAATATTGAAGCAAAACGTTGTAATGGGTCTGTTTGTCATTGATTAGGCAATTTTTCTTCACATGAAGACATAAAAACGACCATAGTATTAGGAGATATTAGGCTTCATGGTACCATGAGTGATCAATCATTATATACCAAACGATGGAAGTAAATGCGATAATGGGGGAATGTTGCGGAGCTTTCTATTTTGTTGAATAAAGCCACGAGACCCTTTTAAGCCATCATGCGTGACTCTGTGAAAATGTTTCCTTGTGGGGGAGAGCTACAGTTTTATTTATTTGTTTATTTTGTAAAATGGGCTCCAAAATTTTAATTGAATGGAGGAAATTTAATTGAAAAATTATATATACTGTGTATCTAAGATTCAGTCCCGTCGTGTACTTCCAGTGGAGACAAAATTTCTTTCCCGACATAATTAATGCAAACATGCCCACAGCTGCTAGTGGATATAGGCCCAACAAAAGTTTGTTCGTCATATTTATTTTTTTTATTTTTTATTTTTTTGAGAATGAAAGGCAATAACCAGGATTGAAAGAAGTTTATCCTTATTACCATGCTAGAGATGCATCAATTCATCTAGATATTTTTCCTTTAAGCGTTTTTTTTTTTTGGCAAATAAGCTTTCAATTTTTCGTTCAAGCTTTAGCCCCATGGCCCATAGCTTGATTAACTTAAAACCATGTCAAGAACCTTTTCTCATTAAAAGCCAAATATTGCTCATTTCTTGAGTAATATCCGTAGCATAAAAGTTGAAACTTTACAAAGTACTTAACCCCATGTGCGGTGGAATACATCTGTATCGAGTTTTTTCCATCGAGAAAAAATAGAAAAGTTTTCTCTAAAACGAAAAACAAATATTAGAATTCTTCGGTAGAGTATCAAAAGACATATAGTAGTGTTTGTCAATTTTGTATATATATTTTTCTAATTTTGATGCTATAGAAAAATATAATTTATATATGTGAGAGAAAAATATTGTAATAAAAAAATTAAATTTAAATTTTTATAAAAAAAATACTGTAATATTTGAATTTAAGTTGTCACTTAAATTGTTAGAAAAACAAGACCTTAGTAGAGTCAAGAATCTTTTCTAAACTAAGGCCTCGTTCACTTTACCGATTCGAGTTTTCAGTTTTAGGTTTCTACAGTAAAAAGCTCTCAGAAAATATCACATATAACTTTTTTTGCTACAGTAAAAAGCTCTCAGAAAATGTCACATCTCAGCTCGAATTGAAAACTCGAATCCGCGAAGTGAACGAGGCCTAAGATTTTACAGTAAACTTACAATACAACAATCTTTTATATTCACTTATTTGTTTCTTTCTTTTCTTCTTCTAAATCAACTTAATTTGTATTAGGGTTTTTTTTTTTTTTTTTTTTTTTTTAAGTTAAGAGTATAAGATTATGAAATTGTATAGGGCATACTTTTTGTTTATTTGAGATTTGAATTTTAAAATATGAGTGCACTTAAATAAAAAAAGGGTTAAGGTTGAAATATTTTTAAAAAAGTGTCTTAAATATTGCAACGGGAGAATTATTATAAAATGAAAATATCAAGGGGAAAAATATATGAAGCCCATAAAACTAATAGGACGTTTGGTTTATGTATTCAGAATCATGATTTAAAATTATTCTCGTTTTACGTATATTTTTTGTGAGAGAAAATACTGTAGAGAATTATGAATCATGATTCAGAATTATGGATGAATATAAAAAACAAACGTCCCGTAAGCTAGCTTTTAGAGGGAAAATGGAGGAATATCACCAATGGCCCGTTTAGTTCGCTGATTTGAGTTTTTAATTCGAGTTGAGATGTGATTTTGTGTGAAAAATTTTTATTGTAGTAAAAAAGTTAGACGTGACTGTTTCTGAGAGTTTTTTTACTGTAACAAAATTCGAATTCTAAACTCAAATCGGTGAAATGAACGGGGCCAAATTAGACCCTCTAACTCAGTTCAAACGGAAAAATATAATTCAAAGTGCATGCTTACGAAACATCAGTTCAAGCTGTGGTTACTGTTCATACTGAATTGAACTGAACTAAATTAATGAAACAAACATGAACTAAATTAATGAAACAAATATGTGCTAAATATCTTTACTAGAAAGCTCAAATAAAATAACTAAATTTCACTACTGGAAAGCAAAAATCGAAAAAGAAAATATCTCGTTTCTTTAAGGGAAATCTGCCTTAAGTTTTCCATAAATCTCTAGTCCCATGACATGACTAACTGGCCCCAGTTCAATTTCTTTCCCAAGTGTGATGTTTGTATGTAATGTATTAGTACAACTGTGTAATAAAAATAAAAACTTTACTAAATACTAGGTACCACCCCACCATGTGCAGCAAAATTCAGAGAAAGCTTCAGAGTGTACAAAGCGAGAAAAATACACGCATTCATACTGTGGAAACACACAATAAAATGGTATTTGTGTTGAAGATGTGGGAAATTGAGAAGACCCATTATCAGACTAATAATAATAATTAAAATATGACACAAACAAACCATAGGAGGACTTTCCAAAGCTTTTTTTCTCTCTTTCTTTTCTGTACAAAAACAGAAAGAGAGAGAAAGAGAGAGGGAAAGAGAGAGAGATAGAGTCCCCACAACCCTCTGTACCCGCTGCCGGACAAAACTGCCACCGCCAATAATGCTTGGGACCTTGTAAACCAGACAACTCTCTCTCTCTCTCTCTCTCTCTCTCTCTGCAGACTTCTCACCAAACTCTCTCTCTCTCTCTCTCTGAAGTTCTTAAAGCGTATCTGGTTTAGTCATATTTCTATCTTCTTAAACTCAAAGTTGTTTTTCAGTGAAGATAAATTTCCAAGACTATTTTTCCACCCTCCATTTCTTACCACATCCCTTTGTAAATTTCTCTCTCTCTCTCTTTTTTTTTTTTTTTTGCCATATTCTACTGTTTGTTTAACTTTAACCCCCATTTGATAATTTCGACTCCTCTACCTCTTTTCTTTTTCTTCTTCGTGAGTTCTTCAAGGCACAGGCGCAGCATTTATTATATTCCTATTTAAGACCATCAACAGCCATCAGAAAGAAACACACAAAGGAATATATGGACATGGATATGGGGTCTCGTTCTGCTTCTCTTGGGGGCTTACATTTATTGCTCCTATTCTTCTGTTAGCATCACAATGGAATGTTGGTAAACTATTCGAGAGGAGCGAGAAAGAAGATTATTATATACATATATATATATATAGAGAGAGAGAGAGAGAGAGAGAGAATTTAAGGCAGGCACGGTTCAACAACTACTCCTCTCTCAGCTTGTACATGGAGAGGCTCCAAGGACCCATAAACCCCTGTGTATGTTTATTGTTTACTACTTTTTCCTCAGTTTGTACATTTATTATTATTATTATTATTATGTTTATTTCTTTCCATTTCTTGAAAACCCATTTCCTAGTATCAAGAAATGGACTGCTTTTACTCCTCTAAATGCTTGCATTCAATACAATGTGTGTTGCTTTCTTTTCTTTTTTTTTCTTGAAACACAACACCTGCAAAACTGTTTCTTCTCTTTAAACATTCCATACTCATTCCGTTTTAATGTTTTCTTTCTGTTTCAAACTGAACTTCTCTCCCCCTTCCCCCCACCCAATCCATGTCTCTCCTCATTATTACTTCCTTTTCCACAAAAGAAAACAAAGAATTGGGTTTCAAACCCATTAAACAAATTCCTCATTTTTCCCTTCTTTCTTATTATTTTTGGGGTCTTTTTATTTTTTTATATTTTTTTATATATATTTTTTTTCAGTTCTTTGGGGAGCATTTGGACGTGGAGTGTATAGAACAAGGACTAACGAGCACAGGAAGCTTGAGATTGGAAGAAGAATTTGAGGATAATAAAATGCCGTTCCTTCAAATGTTGCAAAGCGTAGAAATTTCATCTTCACCATCTTTTTTGCCCTTGAAAGAGCCTACTGCAAGCTTTCAGACGCTGCTAAGGCTTCAACACCTGAAGAAGCAGCAACACCAGCAGCAGCTTTATTGGGAAGAAGGGCTATTTAGTGGCGAGTACTACAACAACAACATTAACAACATTATAATGCCGTGTGAAATGGAGACCCAAATTCAGGCTGCTCTAGAGTATAATGAGAGCTGTGTCACACATGACATAGTCGTTGAGTTGCATGGTGATCCGTCTGTTAAATCCGAAGCCAAAGACCGATATCTTCAGTACCCAGTACTTATTTCAACCTCAGAATGCAACCAAGAAGAACGACCGGCCGGTTCCAAGGATGAAGAGAGTAAACAAACCCAGAACTCGAAATCCATTTCTCATCACGTCGTCACTAGAGAAAGAAGAAAGCGAAAGAGAACAAGACCAACCAAGAACAAGGAAGAGGTTGAAACCCAGCGCATGACCCACATTGCCGTCGAGCGCAACCGGAGACGCCAAATGAACGACCATCTCAACGTCCTCAGGTCTCTCATGCCCACTTCTTACATTCAAAGGGTAATTTTTCCATAATCTCCAAAATTTTTCTTTCACTATTATTCCTTTTGAGCCAAAAAAAAAAAAAGTAGTTTCAAACTTTGAGAGAGAGTTTGTTTCTTTGTGAAATAAGGGTGACCAGGCGTCTATAGTGGGAGGTGCAATTGACTTTGTGAAGGAATTGGAGCAGCTTCATGAATCCCTTGAGGCACAAAAGAGAATGAGAAAATTAGAAGAAAACAACAACCACCCCGTTAGCTCATCCTCTTCTTCATCTTCCTCGGCCGCCGCAAATCCGTCATCCACTGGCATGTTCATGTCTCTTTCCCAATACAGAACCGGCCCTGAAGAAGACATTAACAACAACAACAACAACAACATTGGAGAAGAAGTTCGAGCTGAAAACAAGTCTGAAGCAGCGGACATAGAGGTCACAGTCATACAAACACATGTGAACTTGAAGATCCAATGCCCCAGAAGGCCCGGCCAGTTGTTGAAGGCCATTGTTGCACTTGAGGATCTCAGGCTTTCCATTTTGCACCTCAACATTACCTCCTCACTCGCCACGGTTCTTTACTCCTTCAATCTCAAGGTAATTGTTTTTTATTGTCCCTAAATATACTTGCCTCTTTCTTGTTTTTTCCTTTGTTTTTCTTTGCTTGGACTTAAGCCCACTTGAGCATCTCCAGTTAGAATTTGCCTTTTCATTTCACATTATTATTATTCTATATAATAAGTTTCTTTTTGATGCTATCATTTTTTGGGGTTCGTGTAATTGTAGTGTATATATGCTGTGTATCATATTTGATTGTTTGTAGGCTTAATGTAGTGATGTTGCATTTGGATGCGTGTTGTGGTGCAGATTGAGGATGGATGTAAGTTAGGAACAGTCGGTTCATCAGATATTCAGATTCATAGATGGAAGTTAATTTGATTAAAAATTTAAAAGGGAAAAAGGCAACTATGATGCTTTGTATGGTTCATGTGAGATATGGAAATTATCATTACAATCTTCATATCTTGAAGGTGCAGCTATAATGTAGTAGAAAGTGGTGGATGATTGTTTTTTGATGCATAACTTAAAAAAAATTAAAAATAAAAAAATTGTCTTTCTTTTTCTCTTGTTTTTTATTTTCTTAAGGAGCTTTTAGTTACTTTAACAAAAAAATTATATATTCTGTTTTTAAATTTGAGATGGTGGGTTAGGGGCCCAACATGCGTGGCTGAGTTAGGCTGCTGTTATATAGGGGGGGTCAAGTTGAATATACATCAGATCCTATCATTACGTATTGCAAAGGATGCTTCTCTTACCATATTTGACTTTTGGCCAGCCAAATTTTCCGTATACTAAAAAAGATATTTCATCATTGTAGATGCTTTGTGCATGTCCTTCCCACTGCACTTTTTCCCCCCACTCCCAACGCCTTTTCCCTGCATGTTCGGTTTGGTATTTTTCAATTCGGTGCACCCCCTGGCCTATCCACTCTTTTTCTTGGATTCCAAGCAAAATATATATATATATATATATATATTAATGCAAACTTGGTTTATAAGATTCAAATGAAATAACATAAGATCATCTTATGATTTTATGCATAATGTAACAAATATGTATATATATATATTAATGCAAACTCGGTTTATAAGATTCAAATGAATAACATAAGATAATCTTATGATTTTATGCATAATGTAACAAAAGACAGCTCTCTAAGGTTTTTTTCTCGTCTAGCTACTCGTGGGGTTACGTGTGATTCTTTGTTTCTGTGTGTTTATTATTATAAATAAAATTAAAAAAAAAAAAAAAACCTTATTTCTAAGTATACTAATTCCCAAGCTACTAGCTAGCTAGTTTTTGTGTTCAAAGATGATTAGTTCAACAAATCCAATACATTTTTCTTCGTTGCTGTCTAAATGCTAAATGTGTTTATATTGAGACTGCTATTCTAAAATCTCTGAAGACTTGCGGTGGTTTTTTCTTCGAACTTTTCTTTTCGACAGCTCGTCTTTGGACGCAAGCTCTCGTGTACGTTTATCTTGGCTTTGATAATAGGACACGATAGCTAATGGAGGGTAGACTACAGAAACTCGAAATGTGAACCTAAGTTGGCATTTTCTGAATCTGAATTTTGGCGTCCTTCAACCTGTCCTACAAAGAAAAAGTTGGCTTGAATATCCATTTTTACAGTTTAACCAACCGAGCAATTCTATTTACTTCAAGGCAGTTTTTTTAGTAAATAAAAAAAAATGAATTATTTATAATTTTTTATTTGCAGTCATCTGTATTAAAAACTGTCTCATTTAATAGTTAAAAATTAAGCCCTATCACAGAAACTCCTTTCTTACTTCAAAAATTATTTGGTAGAATTACATTACATCCCAAACTTTTAAGAGAACTATGACAAATACCCTATTAGTAAAGCATATTCCAGTGTTGAAAAAATGACGAGTCATTAAACAAAAAAATTTGTGAACTATTACCAGAAAAAGAAAAAAAAAATCAACATATGAGATCGAGAGAGTCATTTATGAGCCTGCTAACTAGTTATAGGAGAAAATAAATAATTTTCTTCACTAGTTACTACTGAATAATTAGTCTTGATAAAAAGCGTATGAAGCAAAACCAATAAAAAGTGTGACGCTTGACACTATCTAGCATCTTCCAAGGCAAATGGCAAATGCATGGCTTAAAACGGATTCACTAGTCAAACTGATGTCTCATTTTTTTTTTTTTTTTTTTTTGAAAAGGAAAACTGATGGCTCATTTTTGCGATGAAGAAATGAAAGAGAGAAAAAAAAAAAAGGAAGGAAAGTGGCATGGCATTAATATAGAAGAACGCAAGTCAAATAGTGTTGTAGAGAAAGGACAATCCCAGAAGAGAAAAAGCTTTAAAAAGTTTGCATAGAGATTAGAGGCTTCAGATTGTCTTGACAGGATAAGAGAGAAGATCAGATCAGAGGAGAGAGAGAGAGGAGGTTCTGAGTTAGCAGCAAAGGAAAGGAAAGCAAAGCACACATCCCCATGGGAAAGGCAACGTCCTAGTCGGTTTTGGGTGTTCGAGTTTTTGTTTCCTTTGTTACAGCTTTTTGGGTAAAAAGTCAGTCCCATTCTAAAATCAAATCAAATATTCGTATGGGTTTTAGGCTCTACCTCCATGATTGCCTTCCCCTCCTTCCCATCACCACAGATTCAAATGCCCTTTCTGCCTTCCCCTCCCACTTGCTTTAAGAGTTGCAATATCGGGCCACCCGGGCCATTATACTTAGGGCTACGCGAGCCGTGGGTCGGGCCGGCCGGCTCAACTAATGATTTTAGTGAATCGGGTTAGGTCAGCTCATATAAGAATAATTTTCGGTTCAATTCATACTAGGGCTTAATTTTTTGTGGGTTAAACCGGGTCAGGCCGTGCCATGAGCCGTGAGCGGACCGGTCCATTTGAGCCTATCAACGAGTTAATATGGGTAGGCTCACTGTGTGTTTAGAGATGGGCAAGCCATCTTAGTCTTCAATTTTTAAAATTTTTTAATATTTGTTTTTAAATTTCTAAACAAATTGATAAAAGTTTGAATAGTTAATAAAAATATAAAAATATATATTTATTTATGACTGTCTCCTTAAAAACCTTTTAAATTAAAACTTCATGGGACAAAACCTTAGTAAAAAAAAATGAGTACAATAAAGATAATTATACATAAGATATTTATAAAATTACTAAATAAAAATCAAACAAATAAAAAACTTAAAAAGCATGATATGCCAGGCGTTGTAGAAAGCCAATCTCCAAGGCTATGTTCACCCAAGAATGAACATAGCAAAAAAATATATATAATTATTTATATATATACATATAAATATATGAAATTGGGCTACAATGGGCTGGCCCATTGTGAGCGTATATGGGCCAAACCAAGTGGGCCTTACCTGGGCCGGGATGGGCCGGCCCATGTTGGGCATGTTCATGCTGGCACAACACGGCCCAAATCCCATAAAAATTCATCGACAGTACTGGGGTGGCCCATGGGTCGAGAAATGTTAGCCCAGCCCAGCCCACCAATTTTGCTGGGTTGAGTCGTGCCCCAAACAATATCGTGTACTTACTTTTTCTCTCAAAAGTCAATGTCCAAATACCTATTCTCACAGTTAGTTCTTGCGTCAAAGCCATAATTAACTTTACCAATGTAATTTGAAACATGAAAGTTTTAGGGATGTTAAGAGAACTAAATAATAAGTAATTATGTCCCGTTTGATTCACACGTTTAAATCAGTAATTTTGATTCTGAATTTAATTTTTTTTTAAATATTATAACATAATCAAATTTGTGATTTTAAACGCGTAAATCAAACGAACCTTTAATTTTATAAACAAATATAATATGTGACGCAACTTTTTAACCATTACATTGCATTAGAATTATGATAATTCAATGAAATTTAATAAAAATCTTACAGCTAAATCTATTATAACACACTACTAAAGATTTCTCTTTAACAAGTATGATTATTTAAACTCATACATCCAAGTAGTCGTACTCATAGTGAAGTGAAGGTCCAAGGAGCAAAGGTTTTGTACATGTTATTAGTGCATGGTTTCTCATGGAATATTCTTATATTTTTATCATGTAGCTAGCTTGTTGACTTCAAACATATGGTTGATCAAAGCACTATCTTTGGTTTTGGTAGACTACTTTTATACGTAGGGACCAGTTAGATATTTTCTACTTTATCAAACACTTCTCTTATTGACTTCTTTTTTTTTTTTTTTTTTTTTTTTTTTTTTTTTTTTTTTTTTTTTTGTAGCTTTGTATTTGGCATTTCTTTTCTGGGTGATAAAAAAATGCCGTCGGCCGCATTATATATTGTTGGAAAATTTGGATTTGGGAGAATAAAAAGAATATAGAAAGTAGAAATAGGGTTTGAGGCGTATAGAAATATATATTTTTAAGGTTTTATTTATCCTCATTTCTCAAAATTTGTTAATGAGTTTTAATGACAAATTACCCTCAAGATACAATAAACCCTTGAACACAATATCCATAAAAAAATATTGAATTCCGGAATAATCACAAATATGTATTTTCTAAATGCATTAATTAAAGATAGGGATGCATCAATCCTCTTTAAACGTTACAACATTTCACAAAAAGATACCTTTTCCAATTTGAAAGTTATCTTTTATATGTTGATGCACTTATAACAATAGTTATTTCTATTGTTAATAAATACTCAGATATGTGAGAAAACATATCACAAATAGACGTAATGGTTCAAGACCTTTTCAGAACACTAAAACACACGAAAATACATTTTTCGGTAGCAATTTGCGCTGCAGCAGATGACATTCACGCTGCAGCGCTCGGGCTTCGCAAAACAAATCTGGGAGGTCTGTTTTGTGCGCGCTGTAGCACCCAAGAGGCGTGCTGCAGCACGTTCGTGCACTGCATCGCTCGGGCTTCACAAAATAGACCCGAGAAGTCTGTTTTGCGCAGGCTGCAGCGCGTCCGTGCGCTGCAGCCCACGCTCCTACGCGCTGTAGCGCGCGTTTGTGCGCGCCTGTTCTTCGCGAATGTGTTTTATGTCAACTTTATGATATCAAAATTGAGAGATATATTACAATCTTTCTAACATATATGTGTGGCTAGAGTTGCTGGACTTCGTTATAGATTACCAAAAAGCAAAACATGTGTATAACTTTTATCGAAGGTTGATGAAAACTGTAATAGTTCTTTGGTTTTCCTTTTTGGGATTCCTTTCAACACTATCTTCAGCTTTTTTTTTTTTTTTTCCCCTGCATGTTTCACATTCCTCATAACTGAGGAGTGACAATCCACATGAACTTTTTAATTTCTTTCCGTTTGCTCTTTTTTTTTTTTTTTAAATATAAATTTTATGTTTTTTTACCAGTTATTGAGAGGTTATTATCCAGTTTCT